CCCCCCTCAATTTGAGCGGGCATACAAATCACGTTCAAATTGGCCCTCTGAGTATGAAACAAAGGCATAGAAAGAGCCTTGGTTAAGACATCAGCACGCTGAAAATATGAAGAAACATGACGAATAGACAAAATCCCAGAAGCAATCTTCTCTCTCACAAAATGAATATCAATCTCAATATGCTTAGTGCGCTGATGCTGAATGGGATTAAGAGAAAGATAGATAGCACTAAGATTATCACAAAATAGCACCGGTGCTGTAGGAAGAAAAGTAAAAAGCTCAAAAAGTAACTGACGAACCCATAAGACCTCAGCAGTAGCATTGGCAAGAGCACGATACTCGGCTTCTGCACTATAACGAGCAACCGTGTGTTGTTTCTTAGATGACCAAGAAATAAGAGAATTGCCCAGAAAAAGACAATAGCCAGAAACAGACCGGCGAGTATCAACACAACCTGCCCAATCTGCATCTGTGAACATATGCAAAGAAAGCAAAGAATGATGATATAGCTGTAAACCATAGTCCATGGTGCCCTTTAAGTATCGTAAGATCCGTTTGACAGCTTGAAAATGAGAAGTAGTAGGCTTATGCATAAATTGACAAACTTGGCCCACTGCAAAAGCAATATTAGGCCGAGTAAAGGTAAGGTAATGCAGAGCACCAACAAGACTACGATACAAAGAGGGATCATGATACAAAACACCATCATCAACCATTAATTTCATCTTCGGACTCAACGGTGTAGAGGCAGGCTTATAATCACGCATACCACTCTTAGCAAGCAAGTCAGCAACATATTTAGATTGAGATAAGAACAAGCCAGTAGCATTAAAATGAGCACTACTGCCAAGAAAATAATTTAGAGAGCCCAAATCAGTCATCCGAAATTCAGATTGCAATAGGGAAATAATTTTAGCCAACAAGGATGAAGACGAAGCAGTGAGAATAATATCATCCACATAAAGAAGAAGATAAGCCATCAAGTCACCTTTGCGGAACACAAACAAAGACCAATCAGACTTAGCCTGAACAAAGCCACAAGAGAGGAGAAAAGAGGTAAACCTGTGAAACCATGCCCGAGGAGCCTGTTTCAAGCCATAAAGTGCTCGATGTAACTTACAAACATAATCTGGATGAGCGAAATCAATAAAACTAGTCGGCTGAGACATGTAAACAGTTTCAGACAAAGTACCATTAAGAAAAGCATTCTTGACATCAAGTTGATGAATAGGCCAAGAACGCATTACTGCAAGAGAAAGCACAACCCGAATAGTAACAGGCTTGACAACAGGACTAAATGTTTCATCATAATCAATACCGGGTTGTTGAGTGTAGCCTTGAGCAACAAGACGGGCCTTCAATCGTTCAACACTACCATCCGCCTTCTGTTTAACACGATAGACCCATTTCGATCCAACAACATTAGCATCAGGGGGACATGGAACCAAACTCCAAGTATTATTGAGAAGTAGAGCTGAAAATTCTTCGGCCATAGCTGTGCACCAGTTCGGATCTGCACTTGCTTCCCTAAAAGTTTTCGGCTCATGCAAGGCACAATCAGTAGCAAGCAAGGAAGGCAGCACACGAATCTTACGGGTGCCATCTTGGGACCTAGTAACCATGGTATGAGTTCGACCACCATGACTCACGGCATGACTGGAGGATGAAGCGACGGTGGAAGAAGTAGAGGACCCAACAGCAGGAGCTTCAACGGAACTGTGCGGAACAGGAGGAGCATCAACAGGAGCAGCAGCAAAAGAAGTACCTGCATGGCTAGAGACATCATGAGTAGATGGCAAAGAAGCAGCAACAACGGGACTGCTCGGCACATGTGGTGAACAAGTAGAACCAGCTGGGTGAGCATGAGTAGGTGAGGTAGGAGGCAAGGGAGGGCATGAGGCAACACGTGTGGGACTAGAGGGGACATGTGGAGATGTAGTATGTGGTTCTATGGGAGGTGGAAGGACAGCATCTAGAAGATGAAATGGAGCACGGAAATTGGATGAGGAAGTAGGATTTGGGTAATTAATAGGAAGGGATTTATAGGGAAAGGAATTCTCAGCAAACACAACATGTCGGGAGAGTATAATTTTATTGGTGGCTAAGTCAAGACAACGGTAGCCTTTATGATGTGTGGGATACCCAAGAAAAATACATAAAGTGGAACGCGGGGCAAGTTTGTGAGAGGTTGTGGCTGAAAGATTAGGATAGCATGCACATCCAAAGGTGCGTAAATAATTATAGTTGGGCACAACACCAAAAAGCATTTCATGAGGTGTAGAGAAATGTAACCTGGTTGAAGGTAAAATATTTAAAAGATGAACAGCCATATAAAGGGCTTCCACCCAAAATGTACCAGGTAAATTTGCTTGAAAAAGTAAGGATCGAACCATATTCATAA